GAATCATGAAACAATTAAGCAAACTAATTGTCTCCTGCAAATTTCACTCCCCTTTTGCTCTTCTTTTATTTCCTCTGGGAGGGGCCATTCATCGTCCACCTGGGGCCTTCCGTCCAAGTCGACCCCTGTTCTTTAGCTCTTCCCTTCATCTGGCAACTCTGCACATGCGCACACTGGGAACAGGCTCCAGCTACTCATCTCCCTCACTGATGTCTGACTCCAAAGACAGCTAATATCTGTCAGATAGCTCTGGCCCCCTCTCTGCCTCCGACTCAGAGCCCTCATCCGAGCCTTCCCCAGGACTGGCCCAAGTTCCTCCCCAACCTCCTCACTGTCCGAAAGTGCTGCCAGCTCCGCCGGCCACTGGTGGGCCACAACACTCAGCTTCTCACTTACTGTATGAATCCCAAGGCCGTGCAGCATGTACACCATGTCTTCTGTTGCCACATTCCCTGATGCTCCCTGAGCATAAGGACAGCCTCCAAGGCCAGCAACCGATGAATCGACTACATTCACACCCATCTGCAAACAGAAATAGAACCCTTTAAGAATGGTTTGCAATCATAATCTATTGTGAGAAATTACAGCTTAGGAACTGAGCAAGCCTTTGAAGATCCAAATAAGGTTTCTCTTCTCTCACTCTCTCTTTTTTTGAAAAATATATATTATTTACTCTGTTTCCCCGAAGTTAAGTCCTCCCCAGATAATAAACTCAATCAGGCTTTTGAGCCCATGCACTAAAATAAGACCTCCTCACAAAATACACCCCCCCAAAAAATATTGCAACGCAGCAGCAGCCACGAGGTGACCACACTTGCCGTGTCCTGCACCTCAAAAATAATAAGACCTCCCCGAAAATAAGGCCAAGTGCTTCAAAGTCAAAAGGTCAAAAGAAAATAAGACCCTATCTTATTTTCGGGGAAACACAGTAGTACATAGACTTATATACCACCCTAAAGTGCTTTACAGCACTCTCTGGGTAGTTTAAAATGTCAGCACATTGCCCCCACAATCTAGGTCCTCATTTTATTGACCTCAGAAGAATGGAAAGCTGAGTGAACCTTGAGCCACTCAGGATCGAACTCAAGGCTGTGGGCAAAGTTTGCCTGCAATACTGCATTCTCTTTTATATGTATGCCTTCTTACCAATATTCTCATTCACAGGACCTGCTTAATGCTCAGATTTGATTTAGAGAAGGTAAGTGGTGAGCAAACTGGTTTCATTTTATTACAGGTGGTCCTCGACATATGACCGTAATGCTCAGATATTGTTAACAAGTCATAAAATGCAGTCTCATGACTGTGGTATGCAGCAAATGTGAGTTTTGTTGCTGAGCATCTGGTTCGGTTACATGATTGCAAAGTGGGCCCAACTGCTGGAACTTTGAATCTACATTTGTAGGAGATGACGTGGCCTGGGAGGTCAAATGCGTCATCACTCTAGAGTCCATTCGTGCCAAGAGATCTAAGTCCAGGCCTACCTGAATTCCTTTCTATTCTTATCTCCCACTAATTTCTGTTGACTGTTAGTAGTTCAGGTTCTTGTAGAGAACATAAGCTTGCAATAAACCTTGGATTTCTGATTTTCCACCCCTGACAACGTCATTTTTTGTGTCAGTCATAAGTCAAGGACTACGTCTAAAGGTTGCTTCAAAGACTGAGGGGGAAACTCACCTGTAGTGCGACTAGTGTATTGGCAAGAGCTTGTCCGTAAGTGTCGTGGCAGTGGACAGCAAGAGCTTCAACGGGGACCTCTTTCATGACTGCCGAAAGCATCTCCTTCATGTTGCCTGGGGTCCCCACACCAATGGTGTCGCCAAGGGAAATCTCATAGCACCCCATCGCATACATTTTCTTTGACACCTGTCACGTAAAAACAGATGTTTTTAAATAAAACTGTAGCTTCTTATTGTTTTTCTTTGGTTGAAAATTCAACACACAATTATATAATCAGGATGGATTCATCTTCAGGATTTTCTTTCCCTGGAAAAGGTGAGTGACTCTGTTGCATTTCCTCCTCTGTTAATTTTTCCCTGCCGCTATGAAATGCTCTGCTTTGGGTGCTCAATCCAGTTTGCCCTCATTATCTTGCCATAATAGCTGCAAATGGCAGGTAAATATTAGAACTTCGGGTTGAGCCAAATGTGTTTTTCCCCCTCCCCCAAAAGGCAACTTGACTTCCTTGGGTGTTTTCTTTGAAAACATTTTGTTTCTCATGCAAGAAGCTTCTTCAGTTCTTGGATGAGGAGTGAACTGTCTTCCAAGAAAACTCCAAGAAAGTCCAGTTGCCTTTTTGGAAAAAAACACTTTTGGGACAACCATGACAGGGGATGATTGAGAATCTCCATAGAGCAGTGATGGCGAAACTTTTCGGCACCGAATGCCTAAACTGCAACCCAAAACCCACTTAGCGCAAAGTGCCAACATGACAATTTAACCTGAATAATGAGGTTTTACTACCTAAAATAATGATAAACAAGGCAGAATTCAACAATTGTTCTAAGAAAAACGTGATAAATGCACTTTTATGCCCCTTCATTTTTTTCTGCTTTTGAAATATATTTAACAAAAAGAAAAACTTTTGTAATATCATTTCTCTTTCTCTCCTTCTCTTTTCCTCCCTCCCTCTCCACCCCCACCATCCCGCTGAGAGAAACACGATGGATCTGGGCTGAAGCAACGCCACCCGTGCCCACAGAGAGGGCTCCAAGTGCCACCTCTGGCACGCGTGTCATAGCTTCTCCACCACTGTCATAGAGGCTCCCAGGTTGAGCCTCTCAAGTGAGGCCAAGAACAAAAACTGTTTGCGGAATCCATAGCACAAGTACGACTGAGATCATGAAGATTGCAATCAGTGATGGCGAACCTTTTTCTTATGACGTGCCAAAATTGTCCCACAGGGAGTGTGTGCACGCATGTTCCGGTTTGGGCATTCGGGTGCTGAAATGTTTCTCCCTCACTTCTCTAATCTATGGTCTCTCGTGTCCTTGCAATGACATCAGAACAGAAGGCAAATCCTACTCAGTCAGTGGGACAATACACGAGTGGAGAGATTTAACTCTCTTCTCAAAGGCTCGTCTTTGTTTTTTGTAAAAGGTAGGATTTCGTTTACAAAAAAGAACACCTCTTCTGAGCAGCTTACCTCTGCCACTTTAGCAGGAGAAATCTTTCCTTCATAAGGGCAGCCAAGAACGCAGGAGACGTAGCTGCATGGAGAAGGGAAGAAAATGCAATGTTGTCATGTAAAATCATGGGAGATGGGTTAATGAAAGTTAGCAGTCCCTGCCTCCCTTGGGTCCAGTCACGAGAGATCTATCCATAACATACCTTATTTTTCACACTATAGGACGCACATCTCCCCCCCCCCCCCAAAGTGGTTGAAAATGCCTGTATGTCTTACAGAGTGAATGTTGCCAAAACTCCATCCACCCACCGGCCCCCACCCTTCCGTCTCTGTCTCCCAGCAATTTGCCTCCTTGCAGCAAACAGTCTGGTCAGCTTCAGCATAGCCTAGTTTAGCATGAGCAGCTGATTGGTGGTTGGATTGTCCTCCCGGAATAGCTACAATCAGCTGTTCCAGGCTGCACCTATCGCTGTCTCTGTGCACCCCATTTTCGGTCTCTGAGTGTCTGTTTTTGGCCTCCACCTGTCCCTTTCTCGGCCCGGATGCGCAGAGGCCCGTAATGGGACGTGTGGAGGCGGTGATATGAAGCAGCAGTGATAGGCGGTGGCAATCTCCGCAGCCTGGAATAGCTGATTGGTGCAACTTCAGGCGGCTGATCCAACCGCCAATCAGCTGCTCATGCTAAATCAGGCTGTGTTTAAGCTGACCACGCTATTTGCTGTTTGCTGCAAGGAGGCAAATTGCTGGGAGGCAGATTTTTTTTTCTTGTTTTCCTCCTCAAAAGCTAGATGTATCTTATACTTTGGAGCATCTTACAGTCGGAACAATACAGTGATACTTTTTTGATGGGGGGGGGGACAGAATCAATATTACCTCTTCCCACAATTACTTTTACAAAGGGAAGTTACCAGGTCGTGTAGGGTGTTTTTTTTTTTAAAAAAAAACCATCTACAGAGAAAGAGACTTTTTATTATCATGAGGACTAGCTGCTATAAATAGAACTTTCAATTTGGGAGTTGCAGACTGAACACATGTGAAGAGTGCCAGATTGGGGGAAGACTGAGCTAAAAGAAACATTTTTGTCTTTTCTGGAAAGGATGCTGGATCGTCTCCGGCTTAGATCCCTCTTTCTTCCATGTCTCAGCCTTCCTTTCTCCTCCTCATAGGCTACACATAAGGATGCTTGTTCATCACTCAAATCAGCCTGCGGTGCTAATATTTACCCTCGGACTGGAATACTGGCTTCTTTTGATGCCCGCAGAACATCGCTAAACCTTTGCAGACTCTCCTCTATGGAACAGTTGATGTTCTTTTTTGTGAAGAGCTCGGAGGCTGCTCCGAAGATTGACACCTCCTTGGCTCCGGCTGTCACCTACCAACAACATAAAAAAGAGCTTAGATATTATACATTTCTCTCTTCAGAAAAGCATAGCCCTTGTTCCTTCCCTCACAACGAATTTATCTATTATTTACTCATTAGATTTTTATCCCACCTTTATTGCTTTCCTAAGTATCAGGAACAAGGAATCAGAACAACTCCCTGAGCTGTTCAAAGTTACTTCTTCATTGTTGCAATGCCTATTTACAGGAATCTTGCCAGATGCTCTTGGGGTTAGTCAGATAAGGTTTCAGAGATTCCGGAGGTGTCAGGCCTGCACCACTTCCTGCTGTGCGAGGACTCTAAGCTCAGCCCCCACTTCACTCCTCCCCCCCCCCATGCTAGCTGGAGATTCCACCACAAGATAACAAACGTACCTAATACTCCCTTCCTCCTGTTTTTCCCACTGCAATAACCCTATGAATCAGATGGCTGGGAGTGTAACTGGCCAAGGTCACCAAGCCAACTGTTGACTGAGGCTTCCCAAGAGCCTGAAGCAAACTCCTGCTCCCGACAAAAAACCCTTTTATTAATTTACTGTGAATTCTGCTCATTCACATCCAGTGAAGTCTTTCAAGGGAGGATTTATAGTCACAGACCTTATCTGGCTTGGAGAGCTGACAGGCCGATATCTGCAAAACTTGCCAAGGAGCCTCGGAGGATCATGAACCAATTAAGGGAACTAACTGTCTCCTGCAAACTTCACTCCCCTTTTGCTCCTCTTTTATTTCCTCTGGGAGGGGCCATTCATCATCCCCCTGTGGCCTTATTCCCAAGCCGAC